CTATAGCTTCTGAATCTCAGAGCTTGATGGTAAAACGCTGAGTGATATTCGATGAGTGTCGTAAACAGGAGGCATCTGGGATTAATCGAGGTTGATAAGAAGAACTAGTCAGAAGGGAAGGATCGTTTTCCAAATGGATGCCTAAGACTTTCGGGCACGGCATACTTCGCGGTAGCCCACACCGATGAAGGAGATTTTCTTTGGGAACCCTAACCGGAGCCTTCGTCTCAAACGTCTGACCCACAAGGCAGTGAGTGGGGCGTAAATCCAACGAAGCACCCGTGTGGAAGCTTCTGGAGACCTGTCGTGTGATGCCTTTAAATTCCGGTTAAGTTTGTTGTTCGCTGGTGCGTTGATTGTTATTCTACTTTTGGGATCGGCCCTTAGCCTCATGCACCCAATGAGACAAGCGGAACATGGACGGGACAGCATCTTATTGGCTGGGGTCTGCCCAGCTTGGGCGGGTGGTAACGGTTCAATGAAGTGCGAAGACTTCTCCCACCGTGGAGAGGAAACCCCAGGTACCCCGCTCCTACGTCAATCTAGCGAGGGGTTTTCTACCGGTAAACTGCCCCTCACCGTGTTTATTTGCTGGAGTGGCCTCTCCAGGGGCGGGTGTGGATAGAAGAAGGAAGGAAGGGGCGATGAGAATACATACGGTTCCCAAACACCTTAGCGATATCCTTCGAAAATATGCGAGCGTTGATCAACTAGTCATCTGTTCGGCACAGTTCATGGAGAGACCATCCAACAATCATGGGAGGAGAGGGCTTACTGAACAAACACAAGATGCATTTTATACTACTTCTGCGCTGCACTTTTTCATTGGAAAGTTTGTTTAATCAGCAGACTTGAAGGTCGTGTTGGAAATACCAATGCGGTAGCATTTAGCATTAAGTACATAGTTCACGCGCTCGATGAAATAGTGTACGTGAACCAGATCAATTTTAAGTTACATAGGGGTGAAGCTCGTGAAATGCAAATATTGACCAGAGCACGCGTTGATTCGGAAAACAGATCTTTTAATCGATCGGTTGGCAAATAATGTTTATTTCTCAAAACTCGAAGCAGTCCTCCCGTTCGCCGTGACCAGTTAGCTGGATGTTGGGGTGCACTGCGTTGAATCAATGGAATATTTGTTCTCTGTCTTCCTTGCTTATAACGGATTGTCATCAATCAAGCGACAGTATAGAATTAGCTTTGAAGTACACTCTTCAAGCCTTTCTTCTAGGTGGCCAAGAAAAAATGTCCGCAAGAATCGGTGCCAGCGCACTACCCATGGCGACCTCATCTATCTGTCGATATCATTGCCCAAGGAATAAAAATATAACGTTTCACGCGCACAAGGGTAGGATTTGTGATATTTCACTGCTAGGTAACCCGACCTGCAATTTCTTTTCTTCAATTGTCTGACAAATAATCCTGATGGTTTCATATACCATTTGTGAAAAGAAATTGAACATCCATTGTAAACATGTTTTTCTTGAACATTTCTGTGAGTCAAACGTTTACAAGTCTCGAAGCAAACACATTTCTCAGGGTTTTCAGGACATGACGAGTTCATTAGTTTACGATTTAATCTTTTTATTTCATTTATGCGCGTTTGACGGATGGTGGTTGGGTTGATGCAATATGCGGGATTATAGCTCCTCGAATTCGGCGGCAATGAGATGAGCAGTCCAGGTATTTGCAGTCTTTCAGATCTTGAATCGTAACCCTTTGATCATTTTTATTGAAATGCTCTGCGGATGTTCAGACGCTTCTTTGTCACGACTTAGTCATACATTAATACATATTGCACATGCCTAGCAATCATCTACCACACTCGGACTTGTTTATAACTGCTACTTTTCACTTAATTTTACTTGACTTTCTCCGAAGAAGGGATAAGTCGGATCACAGAGCATTGCAGAGCATCACCGATGTCCATGCTCGGCGGTTGTATACGCGATCGGTGCAGACTGTCATCCGGGTTCGTTTACGATGGTGAGAACCGAAGGTCTATTTGTTTCCAGTCTTTGTGGACAACATCAATCCACGCTTTTGCTGACAACCAAGGCGACAGCGCCATTCGGGACAAGGTGCGGGGCATAGTATTGATCGAGACAATACTGTATTCGAGCTCCGTCATGCATGTCCAAACCACTGCAATCGCCAGCGTTAGGGGAACAGATGTATCACCAAACAACACCGCTTGCTTATTTCGCCGTTGGATACTCTGCTCCTATTTTTTTCTTCTAAGAAGGTACCATTGATAAATGTCTCTAACATGTATCTCTCAGTTTGTAGTAATCAGATACCCCCCCCCGTCACAGAAGTCCTTCGGAACAAGTGTGGCGAACAACAAGTTCGTTTTCTGTTTTTCATAAATCATACCAATAAGGAACATGAAATAAGAGTATGCTTATCAACACAATGAAGGGGTGGGGTGATTTTTCACCGAATGTGTATGTGAAATCGATCGGTGTCAAGTGTCCAAGTGGTTACATACGTGTATAAGTGTCACGAGCAATTAAGCCTTAACACCAGCACAGGATGGAGGTGTGTTACAATTCCACCACCACCGCCTGACTGCTCCCAATATGTATCGTATGACAGCCCTTTGACTGACCGCTTTCCCCTTCCCGAAAATTGTATTTTGTATTTTTAAGAAGAAGCACAAATGAAACAAACTGCCGAGGTAATCATCATCTCCAAAACATGAGTTCAACGCTGACTCAAGCTAATTGTCATCATTACATAATTTCATCATCCACTCGACTGTGCCCCAGTGGAATCAATTCATCCACTTCCTCTGTCTTGGTCACTCTTCAAATTAACTGAAACAAAATGACCTTTGGTCATGTTATCTAGTGATTCGGCCTCTAACCCCACATGGGATGAACCTGGATCCGTGTATGCAACTGCCTATCTGTTCCGCTCAAAGGTCATTCTCCAGTTTGACCCCTCAAACCAACACGCATGCATCGACCACCACTAACACACTCAATCCCATCACACCATTACCAGCCACCGCCTTTACCCAAGACCTCCGACGACACAAACAGCCTGCGTCATCTATTGCTCCATATTATCCGGACCCGACAAACCGATTTAGGATCATTTATTCTAACACCAACTCTCGGTTGCCTAGGGTCACGGAGTCGGTTGCATTAAGAAGATGGAAACATGGCCTGTGCGTGTGCAAAAAGTCAGTCAGTCACACTATCACTGCTTTGGTAGTGTTGAAAATTGTGATCATTTGGCCCTGTCGTATTTTTGTGTAACTTATGTACTACTGTTCAACAACATAAACTGTTGTTTTCTGTCGTTGTGCACCAGTTGAGATGCAGCGCATTCTAACTAGGCATAAATCGTGCAATCTAATTTTGTTGCGCGCGCTCTCTCTGTCAAATTTATCTAGAAAAATGTTTAAGAATGTATAATGTGAAAAATACTCTCACAAACAGGACTAAGTTACGGGGAACCAAATGAAACAAAATACAAGAAAGAAAATCGTCCCGCGTTTGCATCGGGATTGCTGTAATCCGCAAAAAAGGTGATTTATTTCTCCCAGTGAACAGTGTCAAACGTGTGTGCGCAGTGAATGTGTACCAGGTGAATCAACCAAATACCAGTAGTGAATAGCAAGTGAAGAAGTAAAGGGAAGGGAACACAGAACCCGAATTGATGACAGAGGAAGTGAGATAGAGAAAAAATGCGCGTATGTACGCAGTGCGATTAAAATACGCCAAAACCGGAAAGACACACACGCACTGCAGTCGCATAAGCAAACGGGTTTGGGATTGGTTGAAATCAATAGTGGAACTCGAGCGGGCGCGTGCACGAAGCCCTGACTGCGCGAATAAAGTGACACAGGTCAAACGCGTCCGGGTCTGATCACTGGCAAGAAGCACAAATTATAATGTACCGTCGGCTTCCAGAACGATTCCTCCTTCCAGCCGCACCATCCCTTGTCCACGATCTGTTTCAGATTGCCAGCCGGACCGGTATAGTGCGGGTCTAGGATGAGATAACGCGTAGGGGCCGATTTCGCACCGGGGACAGATGTGTCCGACAGTTGTACTCCAATAATTGTGTGAGCTAGTTGACCACCACCGATCATGACAGGCCCACCACCAGAAGCGAAATGCTGACTGAGCAAGACAGATGCGGTACTGGTCATTTGAGAACCCTGGGTAACCGGTAGTAGTCGGCATTGGATCCCGTACATTTCTTCGAGACAAAATGAAAGCTGATTGGGATGCAAAGTTGGACGGGGGAGGAGGTGGGGATACAGTGGAGAAAGTAAGAGGAAATTAAAAACGATCCTAGCCGAGTTGCTAAAAATTGTTCAAAAGGAGTTTTGTGCAATTGAGATTAAAGTTGCCACACTAACGAGTTTCCGTAAGGAAGTTGAATTCATAAGATGAGAAATGCTGATCGACTGCTGTTTTTCTTGTGCCAGTGTTTGGAATCGGATAAAGGGAGTATCGAGACAAAAATAAACGTCGTCTAGCGCGTGAGAAATATCACAAAGTTTTATGCAACTTCACTGATACTGAAATGTGAGATTGATCAATTTTTCATCATGTCTCTGTTTTAAAGAATCAACAGTGGTTGCGCAATGAGACCTGCTAGATGGGTTTGAAAACTGCACACTACGGAGAGGGAGGGAGGGGGGCACGAAACGATGCCGGCAGTCCAGTCGACAGTTCGGGGGCAATAACTCAGATGAATATTTCCTAGGGTGAACGTTAGGCGACAAAGTGAGCTCCGCTACATTCAACCACCAGATGCCATAGATGAAGAAATACTTTTTACTCCACACACACACACAAAGCTGTCGTCTGGTTCAATACCACGCCACTCCAAGTTCCGGTGCTTAGGTTGCCGGTTTCTATCACTGAACAGTAGGTCCTCGTGACTATGGCGTTTGCCCCGTCTGCTGTTCATCACACTTAGGTGTGTAATAAAACAATCCGACAATTTCCAGAAACGGTAAACTGATCAACAAACTCCAGGATCCGAGGAAAAATTACCTCCGATCGTGTATCATGGGCAACTTTATTGCACCAGAGACAATGGGAAACGGAAATCAACGAAATTACCCAATTGATGATGATGTAACACAGCCGACACAAAAAACTTTAAACCGATAGGTTTAACTGGCGTCAACTGCAAAGTGATAGAGCGGATAGCTAGAACAAAACTAGGGGAATTACTGAAACATAAGCAGTTCCCTTCAAAAGCACATCACAAATTACTCAACGGTCGGTGGAAAAGGATAGAATGCAAAGAAGCGAATCAGTATCATAACAGGTGCACCATTGATGACGGTTTCGGGCCATAAAAGCTAGCGTCTCAAACATTAGATGATTGCCATCCTTGTGACCCCAACTTCGGAGCTAAGAACGTCCTTCGACTGCCAGTATTGAACTTAATACATTAATTCCTCAAACACATGTGACTAGTTCTTCACTTCGCCGCAGCTTTCAGTTAGTATCGGTTCGTACAAAAATATAACGCAAGGTAGTCGTTGGGCCGGCATATAGAATATAGGTATGGTGGTATTGTAGACTTGGCCTTTCAAGAAGACTGAGATCACGTCAACACTACAACTGAGACAGGTTGGCGAAAGTCACCCGCGCCTAGTGTATATGCCTTGATGTTTCCTCTATCGGTTCTCCTGAGCCGAAACAGCTCACCATACAAGTACAGTGGTCGACAACTTCCAACTGGTCGCCCACGGGCTAGTCTTGTGGAAGGGCCTTGTATTTCGAGGGAGAAAAGGTCATCCCCAACTGCGTGATGGACAACACTAACTTACGCAGGACGTTTTGAACATCTTGAGAGTAGTCACAGCTGATAGGATGCCATCTGCGTATTCTAAATCGGTAGGTCGATCACCTGAGAGAAGCTCCATGCCGGTGGCTCTGCAGTTTTCAAGAGAGCTGCTTAGGATTTTGTTCATTGCGAAATTAAACAGGAAGGGTGAAGCAGTGCAACCCTTTCGAACTCTGACCGTGATGGTGAATGAAGGGGAGATGAAGTTGTAGGCCTTGACGCAGTTTGATATGTCTGAGTAAACGGTGCTGAGAAGGCTCATGTACTTCTCATACATATAAGTCCAGAGAGCCGCTCTGTCAAATGAGTCAAACGCAGCGTGTGTGGTTAAAAAGATGACTAAAGTTGGTTCACTGAGCATTTGCATTTACACGAGAATATGACGTAGTGTACACGTTGTGAACACAGCCCCGTACGGAGCCGGATTCATCCTGCTCTTTACCGAAGGAACATTCCCTTATTAAACTGAGTCTGCGATTGCATTCAAAGCAAGGGAAATAAGAATAAACCTTCGATGATGTGAACAACCGTGGCGGGAGGTCCCCTCTGGAAAAAGACATTACGTTCGCCGAAATCCAGTTGGATGGAATGGAAAGCGAACGTATTGTGATGCTCCGTGACCGTCGCACTACTTAAGTGAAACAAAATAGCAACTCACTTGCTCGTTTTGAATAACACCTTAAACGATCGCCAACCTTCCTCTAACCTGGATCATATAATATCATTTACCCGTTGAGCTATGTTGATTATCAACCGTCTCTTGTGGTACACTATTTCATTCCTCCTTCGGAAAGTTTTCAACGCAACTGGAGAAAGGTTAGCGGTAACCGTTGCTTATCGGGACCGATTGGATTTGAGAGCTCTGAAAACGGCGTGTAAAACCGATAGAATCATCTCTGCGTGGTTTTCCACTGTCGTCGAAAATCAGCTGTACTTTTGAACCAGTAAATTAATTTTCAATAAATGGTTGATTGTCACAACCCGATCGTACACCAGACATTAGCGACCTTTGTGAGCATCAAGTGGAATCAAAACGACAAATAAACGTGCGGCGGGGGAGGGGGGAGTGAACCGCGGAGTAAACATTTCCACTCTTAATTAATGCTCTGGCTTCTGCTCAAACAAAAGCCGATTTTATCACGTAGAAGTAAATCTAGGTTTGGCTAGCTTGGACTAGTCGGAACTGATAGGATGGAACCGTGGGACCATAGTTTATTTGGGGCGGGACGTTTCTTAGGGCAACTAGTATACATACTAATGCCATGAAAATAACCGAATGGTTATTATATATGCTATTTCAAAACTATTCCCAAACACAATCAATCACGTAGTTCAATTTTTCATTCAAAAATGTCAATTCCTATTCCGGTTACCTCGAATGACCCGATCCATTGACGCGAACCGACAAAGTTCTTTGGTTTATCACCAGTACGTGCAAGCGAGGCTTGGATATCTGTGATTGAGGGCAGACGTTGAACTGGCACTTCTCCTTGCCACATGAGCCATGAGATCAGTGTTTGAAGTGACCGGTACGCGCAACCCCAATTTTTGTCATCTGTATTGTCCTGGACAAAAGGGATGAAAACAGGGACAACACATAGAGGAACAATAAACCAATGATGATTACAATTATTAATCCTTTGATTGTTTTGTGTTGAATAGGCAAATAAATAACTATTATTCTCAAGGGGAGAAACGAACAATCGGAGTACTACCATGCGATACAAAGTGACGAACTGGGTTGGTGGTGGTGGTGGGTTGACTACACGATCTCCAGATGGATGTGATAGCCATCCATATGATGTGATCGTCTCCACAGTCTGAAATTCTTATGTGTACAAAATAGACCACATGGTAAGGTATCACAGATTTATGAAAAGCGTGAGAAACATTGGGCAGCCATTTTAGACTCACCAAGAATCACCAGCCTCCGAAAGCCTCAATATGGTCGGAGGCGAGTATCTTCGGTTGTGAATGGTCACCCTTGCACGTGGCGAAATGCTCATAAAAAGCCTCCGGTGAAGAAACCTCTACTATGTGCTTTCCCGCAGCGGTTTTCCCACCAAAGTGAGAGGACAAAAAGCCAATATAACGGACTGTGACCGGGACGATGAACCACTGGCAGTTCAACCAGAGGAGTTTGCTAAAGCCCTGATTGCACACTAACCAAGAAGAGGTGTGTGAGCCCATTCACACCTTCCTGGTTGATGTAGTGATCACTTGTCCGATTGGGTATTGGACGTTAGACACCGTCCAAAGGACGCATGATTCGATGAACCAGAGGCAGGCCCCTCAAAGGATTGTAGTTTTCACTCCCCGCTCCGCTGCTTTGCGGGTCAGATTTTGGATAGTCAAAGGTCTCGTTGGGAGTTCCCCAGACCAATTCACCCGAACCACCTAGTAATATTGCACCCTCGAGTAAATCACGAAATTTTTCATCGTTTTATAAATATAACTGTACCGTGATTTGTTTGGCACAGGGTGCGGACCCAAACGTACGTGAAATGTAATAGGAATCATTAACTATGCACATTTACGGAATTCGACCATCGGGATTTGAACTTTAATATGATAAACTAACACGGCTAACTTCCGCAGCCAGTTTCACGTAAACAGCATATGCATGATGCGGTGCCCGTCCGAAACGTGACATTTTAAAGCGATGTACCATTACAACTGAGCAGGATTTCCGCATCATTTGAGTATAGACTAGTTTAGGTAAAGCTCATCATACCTATTTTGTGTGTTTTGACAAGGCACAAAAAGATTCTATCGTCAACGACAAACACGCTTAATGATGGCATCCACCGAACTGAGCATCCGTGTCTTATGGGTCAGAGAGGGGCAATGTGCAGTCTCGTTGTGAGGGCAAGTGCATTTTCGCTCAAATTACTCAACCCTATGTCATGAAAAGCATAAGAGAGTGGCACTCACAGTTATGAGGACATGAACATTTACAGGATTTGATAAGCTGTAACGCATTGTCCTCAAAAGGACAGGCGTGGAGCGTATGGAGCGATTCAAGCTCCTCACCAAAAGCATCTGGCTACACTGATAGATCCCAAATCTGGGTCGGCCTATGGCACATTAAAAATGGCGACTAAAACCACTTGGTCATCATCTAAAACAATTAATTGAACCGATTGTTTATGAAATTGACGACGACAATCACAACCGAAATCCCATGATCCATTCAAGTCCTGAACAAAATTCGTCAGATAACAATCCGTTCGGTCTTTGGTCGGAAGAGAAAGGAATGCTCTTGTCATACCATGCACAAAGACACATGATCAAATATTGATCTGATTCATTCTCATGACTTTTCATCCAGTTCTGATGTGCAATGGCCGTCCATATTTCGAGCATCTTGGTCTTCACGAAAAAAGCTACTCACAAAAGCCGAGTCTATTTATAAACATCACCACAAATTGGATCGGATTAAATTGATCAGCTACCTTACACGGCAGTCGGAACCCCAGTTTTTGCACAAATAAGCCCAGTATGGGGATAGCAGTAACAAACAGACTTATTTATTGTTCTTTTTGTTGCTTCAATTTTTTGGAAAAAAAAACGAAACACCTTATTGTGCGTCAGGGGCTTATTGCCTATTCCTGGTCGGTTTGTGCGTTGGACAAAAGCACGGGGTGCTATGGACCGGTTGTTGGTACTGCATGAGAAAGATTAGTCAAATATGGGTCGAAACTGAACAAATTGAACGATGAAATTCACTTTTTAGGGCTACAATGCACAGTGGCCATTACAGTTCGTTCTTGGGGCGATTTCCAACTCCGTGCATTTCTAGCACACTTAGCATAACGACCAGGGTCAATCGAACCAGTCCAGTGAGATGGTCGCGCCCTCCACACCGTGTATAACACCTCAAAGCGCTCCAAGAACTCGCAGTCACCAATCTCAAAACAACGATAAAGTGATGCGCAATACACCAGCTGTTGATTCATTGTCACCTCGCATGATATCGAAGGAAAACCTGGTGGGATTATGCCATTCCAAATCACCACAAAGAAAAACTTGGCATTCAAATCTCTTGTATATGTGTCATCGGCATTCCTTCCGCCGTTCTTCCTTGTGTATTATCACATGAAACCACCTGGATAATCTCACAGCTTCTGCAATAAATGGATGTACTCAGACCATAGTTAAGCTGCGGCGTGACAAAGTGGATTTACTGTAGAATAAAGTGATACGAGTTACTTCTTTTTTGCTCTTGTTTCCAATTCGAAGTACTGATCGACTCAAACTGCTGTCCGCCCGGGCGTTTTATTGCACCAATTTCGTAAAACGGTCCGGGACAGCGTTGTCAAGGTAAAAAACCAAAGATACTGTTGTACCGATATAGTGAGAGATACGGATGAGCTAAAATTTATATTTTGGAAGCAGTTGCACACAATTCTGCAACCTGTAATCCATTTGATTTTTTTCGCGCCTAAAATTTTACTCTAATTCGGATCTCATAATCATTGGAACAAATAACCGTGATTTCGAATTGATGGAAATCAGTCTGATGAAGCCGGATGCAATTTGTATGTAGCAGAGTTCATGCAGCCTTACCCATGTATACAATAGTTTCATTTAGGTTACTCGTTTGTAGTTATATATATTGTATGATCTCGCACGCATGAGGAAACAGACTAGTTGTATGAGCTCTTTAACTACAATCGCAATAAAAAGCTGAAGTGATTACGTGTCCATGGTAGGTTATTTACACAGTCACGTTTTAAGTCATTGATAGGTTTATTACAAAAAGTAGGTGAGATCATTATCCAGAATAACCAAGTCGGGGCCCCAACCCACTAGGTTTCTCATCCTCAGAGGTAGTTTTCCGGTCAGAAGTGGTTTAGTTTGAGACGAGAGAACAGAAGCCATGGATAGAGAGTTGATAGCACGCAGTAGTTTCAGATAACTCCTGAACGGGAAGCGTCAAATTGTTAATAAGTATACTTAAGCGGTACTCGCAAGTAACGTTTGGTAGGGCACTGAAAATTAATTTTCACAGATTGGGAGAGTGAAAATACCGCTAGATAGAAGCGACTAGGCAGACACCATCGGAATGGTCTTAAACAGGCAAGATTGTATGTACCGCTTTAGACCCAAGCAGGGAATAGTTCACAACAGAATCCAAGATTGGGGTGGTGCTCTGCGGTAAAAGGTTAACGAGGGCTTTCAGCTGTTTGTGCTGCTGAGGTCCACGTGAAACCTGCAATAACCAGTGATAGCAAAATCCTCTGGATAGAGCACTAGTTCCACGACGAGACTGCACCTTGACGTGGTGTGGTGGCTTGTGTACCTCTGTGACCCAAGGAGCTACACAGGATGGCTTTTGTCAAGCCGAAGATCTAATCATGTCTGGAAGGTCGGACGAAGTCCACTCTCCTGCTCCTCCAGGTTGGGGATTCGACTAGAAGTTGCGTTTTAGTCGGTAAAAAATGGTGGAGGAGCGATCAATCCAAGTAAATGGGTCTCAACTTCACTTCATCCGCTGCCTTGCGGCTAGGTTCTTGTTAGAACCGAAGGCTTAGGTTGAGAACCCTAATCGTTCTCCTGCTTAATGGTTGGACACCCTAGCAATACCCGTCCATCAAACCCCAATGCATATGCACTGCGAGTTTGGCAGCGATCAGTGAAGTTCACTTCTCTGTATTTCGCTGTACGATTATGCTCCTCTAAAGACAGAAATGTGTATTACCCAAGAAATAGTAAAGACAGACCCTTTCAAGATACTCGGGGACCTCAGGATCAGTTTCAGCTTGATCAACGGTTAACCATGCACTTTCGTGCGCCGGTTTGGGTCGTTTACTTTTAGCTGACCATTGGGATGAAGGGATAGAAAAAATATTGGAAAGTTGAAAGTAAAGCCGAAGAGAAAACGGAGAATCCCAGTAAACCACGGTTGCAAAGAAAGTGAGATGCACAGATACCATTGTATGCGACACTCAGTGTTTCTAACCGACAGTTAACATGATCCCGGGGTCCCCATCCAAGGAGCCTAACGCGACTTGTATGACCTAGTCTCCTGGTTCGCTTTTTTACACCCTCATATCAGATCTTCGTTTGACCACCCTTAAACTTCTCCCATCCACTGCTTGTCTCGGCAAATGTAGTGCACTGTGGCAAACTATTTGGTGACATGCACACACACGCCCCAACCAGCGTAATCTATGGTTCACCACTTGTGCCAAAGAACGATTGTAACCAGCTAAAACGCTGGCTAAGCTCAGCTTTGCCTGTCCGGATTTCCCACCAGATGCGTATAATGTGATGTAGACAGCGGTGTTCGAACACCGACACTCTGTTGTTATCTCGGTCCCGTAATGATTCAGTCTCTGTGCCCTATAGCAGCACTGGTCGAATTGATGCACCATACGCTCCACCCTTCAAAGACAGATGGATGTCGCGACGGCGCCACAGATGTCTCCAGTTGGCAAACGCCAACCGTGCCTTCTGTATGTATCGACACTTTATTGTGATGGTTAACCGGGTCAGATGTAGCTGCCCAATGAGACTAGCCCAGTCTCATAGCAACATTTAATACTTTGAAGGTGCAAAACGCATGCAACACTAGAACTGAAACTATTTGGAAGAACTTGCAACTTACCCGGATTTTAACTTAGCAGTACAATGCCGTCTGCATAGTCTAGACCAGACAGCCTTCCTTCTAAAGAGCAAATCGATGCCGCCATCATCGCACGNCGCACGAGGATAAGGCTACTTCCATAATCAAATCGACGACGAAGTTAAATAGGAAAGGAGAGGGGGCAACCCTGACGAACGCCACTTTACGTAGTGAACTCGCACTCGGCTTCGACTAATAGTAGAAAGAGATCGCAAAATCGAAATAACTTTTTCGGGCACACCCTTCAGAGCTAGGCAGCGCCAGAGCTTAGAGCGGTTGACTGAATCTAAGGT